GAGAATTAATAGCTGCTATATTGAACGAATTGCTTGTGGCCAGAGGACATGTAAATATACAGATGGTTTTGGGAGGTAGATGTTCAATGATAAGTGACATAATGACGGCGCTGTATGGACATTTAGCTAAATAGTGAACGAAAAAGGCGTGTACAGTTAAAAAATAACTATATACAACTGTAGATTCGTGGGCTGCGAAAAAAGCAAAATGTTTGTTGTAACCGAAATATATCGAACAAAACAGCGTACATTGCACAGAAATCATTTTAAGGGGTACATTATACTAGGTGGGCCTTGCGCGATATAGGTACACATGCACATGGTTAGATCATATCATAGGTTTATTATATTATGTCCTACCTGGGCCGCGATTACGTTCGATACGGGTGTTCCGGTCCGTGTGATAACTAGCGGTACGGCCCGGGGGTTCTTAACGCGTACGGCCCGGGGCTTCCAAATGTTCCATAGAACGATTCGAACGCGTTTCGCCCTAACCGCGTGCAACGCTTTCGAAAATTCGAATGCAAAATTCGGACGTTGGAATTGATGTTGTTGCACTTTTTGGGTTTAGGGACACCAACTTTCTGCTCATTTTGCATTGAAAGGCGTGTTTTCTTGGGTGGGTATGACATAAATAAAATACAACACGGTGTATTCCGCATCACCCTCGGTCCCAGCCCTCCCGCGGATCGGATCTCCCTCCGGCCTTCGGCCGTCGGGCGATCCGACGCGCGGTCGGGCTGGTACCTCGGGCGATACGGAATACCCCGTGTTGTATTCTATATATACATGCCCGAAGGCTATACCTTATAATTATAAGATAGAAAACTAGCCCAAACAGGGATTCCCACATACATAGGGGTGTTCCTTGCGCAATATATTGCGTACTTTCTAAAATATATATCGCATGGAGTTAGCTTCATATCATCGAGCTAGAGGGTTGACAGACTAGATATATAACTTTATTGCGCAACAATTGTACAGTGTACAAAGTATGGCATCTACTAACTTAAGCAAGTACATGTCGACTACATTTTTATAAGGCTAATCTAATACAAAAGTGGGTGGCTAGTATGAGATAGGTATCAACTTATACAATCATTGGAGTTTCTAATATCCATACAGTCTTTAATATATATCCCTATGTATAGCATGTAGGGGTTGTTATTATCATTAGCTTCATATCATCTAGCTAGATCTCGTCATAGAAAGTTGACAGGTCGGTTCGTCTTGGACCCGTGATGTCGGGCGGAAACAATTAGCGTGCGGGAACAACAACAAACGGCGGGTCATATCCGGGGCAGTTTGCCGCTCCTGTCCTCTCACCCAGAATAATGAGAATAAAGCCCCTGACCCGATCAACGCACGTGTCACTTGCTCCATTGTGCGTCCTTTGTTATCAAGGTTCCGATGAGATATATGCGTTTAGAAACTATTGTTTCATCCTTATTTGCTCGATTCTTGGAGTTTGTTTCCTCATCTAAATGTCAGTATATCAAATACTACTTAGCAGGTGAAATATCGTCTAGAAATCGGCAGAATTTTTACGCCACGAAGCACACAAACGACAGAGGCAGTTATGATGATTAATATGCACACAGATACAAAGCAAGCGATACGTTCCTTACAAATATAATTTTGCTCTATTTTATCCCCCTTCCCAAAGTTACCCCGTGTCACCTACATACATGTACAGCGACCGCGCGTTGAAATGAGTTGTAGCTTCCTAAACAAGGCTGGATATGAAAATGCGGGAGAGAAAAATGATTGGACGTTTTGATGGATGGTTTTGCCCCGAAGCGCTTCAACTCGCCTATCCAGCCAGAGATCTTTCTAATACGTCCTAGACAGGATATATCATATCTTCTAACGATAACAATCTACCTCTATACACCCATCTGTTGACAATAAACACCTTGTTCTAACCCAAACACTTTAAATCCTTCTCGCCCTTTAGTTTTCTTGCTTACCTGTAGGCCGTATTTACGACGTAACGGTTGAAATAGGCGGGAAACGTACAGGAAAAAGTCGTCTGAGACCATATGGGTTTCGTCCACACACTTCAGTGTAACGTCGGGTTGGTGTGATTTTACCCGCTATTGTTGGGTCTGTATAAGGAGTATAAGTACTTCTATTGTGTGGCAATTGAATGCGTAATTACAGCTAATGGTAAGGTATAATTCCAGTGTTTACGCTCAGCACTGTTGACGCAATACTTGGAGAAAAACATGGGGTAGAAAAAAGTAGCTCCGTCGGCATACGATAGGAATTTCGTGTATTTTGTATCGCCCTCAGTAATACAGTAATTTAAGGTAAGAACTAAGAAAGCAGAAAAACTTGAGTGTTTTTCCTTTTAATTGCTGCACAACTGTATAGACTAGGGTGTGAATAATATGACTATGGTTTGAATGATAAACACAACAGCGGAATTCATGTTAGAACAGTTGCTTCCTTCTGTTACCCCGTCCCTATTCAAAATCAACGTTCATGGTTTTGCCTTGCAATAAATCTTTGGTTTGTATTAATCTTTGTATGATTCCAACATTATACATACCCATAGAACAGCATTTGACATGATTGAAGGCCACTGGCCTAGTGTAATGTGATGTATTGTAAGGGCTTACAATTTTCCCGATGTCTTCGTGATGTACGTGCATTTGCACATATCGCCGATGGACTACATACAAACACGACCTGTGCGTCTTGACGTCTCTGTGTCATTACCAGATCTAGCGGTTAAGTCCTGTCATTGTGATTTCAGGTCAGCTGGATTTATGTAACAACTACAAATGTGGGGAGATGTTACTCTCAAAGTAGAGGTTTCGGCTTATTTTTGACGTGGTTTTAGGCTTTGTTGTATGTACTGGTACCCTTTTTACGCCATCCAAACGGGTGACGTATTGAATACTGTTGGACCAACTTGTTAACTGTTTTGCAGACGCCAAAAGATCTGCTTGTAGATTAGGGAGTCGTGACAAAAAGAACTACGGTCAAACAAATGGTAAAGGAGGGACTTCAACTACACATTTACATGTGACAAACCTAAAGTTGTACATGTAAATATACACAAGAAATGTACATAAGAAACTGAATGTATGTGCAAGGACATTACATAGTGTCCTTGCTAAGTGCTAGAATTTTTCCAAGGACTGTGCAAGAATATAGTCTCATTCTATACTTTACTGTCTCTTTGATTCAGAGTAGATTAGTTTTCTCGACGCACGCTGTATCTTACATGATTTTAAGCAATAAAGTTACAAATATCATCATCATAATCTACATTCAGATCTTGGGGAACGCAAAGAAAGATCCTATCATGTGTTGACGTTTATTTGTATACAATTCCGTCACTACAGTAAACGTATCCTTCGGATAAAATGTATATAAAACTTGACTTCTGAAGATATAGAATGATTCAGACACCCGATTTTCTATCGAAATGACTCTCATATACGCTATTGTTTCACGATTATTGTTATGAAGAATAAGTCATATTTTCCCACGATGTTCATATGTTCAATAGACCCCGAGGCTGTGATAGCATTACCTTCGTCGTCCAATCGGAAGTTCATTTGGTCTGGGTCGCAGCACAAGTGACATAGGATATAATTAAAAATAACACTTCTGCTAGAATGGATGCAGCTTTCTTTGGGGCGTTTGTTTTTGATCGTTCGTTTTCTGTATGGTCCATTGTTCTACTCGCACAGGTGGCAAAATCAATAGACAATGTCGCGTTTCATAATCAGAATATAAAAATGACGAAGACACAATTTCACAAACCAGTTGATATACTGTATTGAGATAAACATCGAGCCCAAATCCAGTGTATTATACACATTAGGAGGACAATGAGAGAGTTTAAACCGATAATTTACTTACAACTCGTATGGCTTTTGTTTGTCTTCACCTTGTTTGTACATTTAACGATTCAAAAGCAATCCATTGTATATACTTAATGGAAGGAGAATAAATGTAAAGATAAAAACACTTGGATAATGTAACCTACATATAATTTGTAAATATCTCCTTTTTACAAGTGCATATCTGAGTATACCAAACACCAAGAAAACTCATATTTGGAATTTAGGAAAAATACAGTAATTGCATACTTTCATTTCGAATGTTTCATTGTAATATATGATTAATAAGGAATTAAGTCCATTAACTTACCGAAAACAAAACATGTAACCCTCAACTAAAACATTGACGTCAAATTATTGAATTACAAATACAACGTTACTGACAATAATTTTCAAATCAATAAAATTATTCTGTGCTGCTTATACCACCTTTATACTTGTATTACATACACACACATAAAAAATAAGAAAACTAAGGGTATAGAAATATTCCAAGAAAATATTATTATAAGTGGCTTCAGAAATTTTCCTTATGGCATCATTACTTGATTAACATGGCAGTGTTTTGGAAGACATCGATGATATATACAGAGTTTCAGGCATCTTGTGATTATTGTTTTATCCTGGCACAAGCACATGTTCTCGGGAAGACATAATTTTGTTGTTGGTGAAATGATATGGCCCCTACCTGTAAACAAAGTCCTGTCATGCCTCGGTCCGTATTTTTCGACAAGAACGTCCAAAGTCCGTGCCAATCATTTTCTAGAAGTCCTAACAAAATTGCTTTTGGATACGTTTGGTTGTTTTCCCTTTGCTGTACGGTCTGTAGTAGTTTTACGATCATTGTTCCTTAGTACTTGGTTTTAGCCTCCTTTCTTGTATACTTTTGCAGATAGCTTGCTAGATTAGATGGTATGTCAGGCACTGTCCATGTATGTTCCTCTTCTCGCGTTTTTTTGGTTGGTGGGGTAGGGAGGGATTCCGTTTACTTAGACTAGTCCTCCCTCTTTCATGCACAACTGTTTATAGTGGTTGTTTTCATCCGATGTGTGACCTAGTTTTTCTCTACAAGCGGACTGTGTCCTCATGACGACAATCTCAGGCCTCCTTCTACTTGGTACAATTTGAAAACGATAAAGTCGCTCAACATTGCTGTGAACACGTTGTTAATACATAGAACGACGCATGGTTTGTAGATACTGGAATAAAGGTGGTAGTTTACCGTGGACGCGCGATCATGCTGTAGGGCTGTGGACGCATGACGAGCCCGTAGATGGCCTCCAAGCTCGGCGCCGCAGATCCGTTCACACGCTCGAACGTACACTGGTGTAGGAGGATGGAGAAGAACAGAAACATCTCCTGCCTGGCGAGGACTTCGCCAGGACAGCGCCGCTTGCCCGCGGAGAACGGTAAGGTCTTCTCGACGGCGGCGGCGTCCAGGGCGGTGCCGGTCGGGTCCAGGAAGCGCTCGGGTCGGAAGCTGCTCGGGTCCCCCCAGATCCGGCGGTCGTGCCCGACGGACCACAGGTTGGCGAAGACGATGGTGTCCTTGGGGACGGTGTAGCCGTTCAGCTGCGTGTCCTTGGTGGTGAGGTGGGGGATGGACATGGGGACGATCCCGGTGTGGCGCACGATCTCCTGCACCGTAGCCGCCGTGTAGGGCAGGCGCGACTCGTCGGCGAGGGTCGGCAGCCGTCCCCGCCCGACCACTCCGTCCAACTCCCGCTGTACCCGCGCCTGCACGTCGGGGAAAACCAGCATGTAGAGGAAGCACCAGTGCAGGAGCTGGGCCGAGGTGTCCTGTCCCGCGCCGAAGATGTCGATGACGCACTCCAGGACGAAGTCGGCGCTCAGACCGGCCTCCTGGTTCTCGGACATGCTGAAGATCAGCGCGTCGGTGATGTCCCTGATCACGGCGCGATCGTAGGTCTGCAGGTGGAAGTTGATGTGCTTGTCGAAAAGCTGCAGCGACGAGTCCATGGCCTCCTTGAACAGCGTCGCGTTCTTGTTGGGGAAGAAGCGCAGCCACGGCATGAAGTCGACGGGGTTGCCCGCGCCGATGGCCTTTCGGAACTTCTCCGTGTTCTGCAGGAGCTTGCGGAAGTCTTCGTTGCCGTGTTCGTACCGCTTGCCGAAGCACAGCGCGCAGACGACGTTTGCCACCGCGGTGTGAGTGTACAGCTCAGGGTTACACGGCTGCCCGGCCTTGGACAGGAACATGCGGACAAGTTCTTGTGCTTCCTCGGTGATCATAGTCTCTGCCGACGCGGTGAGCGCTCCGGTTCGACCGTAGACGAAACCTTTCAGAGCTCCGACCGTGACTTTCTTCCGCGCCACCCATGTAGGACTATACGTCTTGAACGTAATCCCGTTTTTCACTTGTTTGAATGAGTACAGAGCCGGTCTGCCCGCAAAGCAGGCGGCCTGCTTGACAAACGCCTCCTTCACCATGTCGATCCCGTTCAGTATTATAACAGTCCGGCTCCCAAACTTGACGCGGAAGACGTCCCCGTACTTCTCGGCCATTCTCGCCAGGGCATGGTGAGGCTGGCTGCCGAGGGCAGGGAAGATCCCGACCACGGGAAAACCCCAGGGTCCCGGCGGGAGACAAGGCGTGTTCTGCCGAAGACGGCTCACCAGCACCGCGGCGACGAGTACGAGCAGCACCGCGACCAAGACAACTTGTAAATAAGAAAGGCCGAACAAGGACGCTGCGGCCAGGACTGCCATGGTGTCGTCTGCACGCGTGAGCTCGTGGGCACCTCTACTTGAAGTAAAGCGCTTGTAAGTCGTGACGTTGTCTTCCCGCACGCAGCGACACTTGATCGTTCCACCACGATGTGCAGCGGCGGAATGCGGCAGCGCTTCAGATTTTATATGGAGAATGCTGCAACCGGATCTTTTACCCCACCTAATTTTTGCGTGCGGCCACATGGTATCGCGTGAGAAGGTTGGTCGGTGGGCCTGTTCCCCCAACTTAAATGGGCTATCACCGCTCCATCTCCCCGGAATGACAAGACATGGCCGGCGGGCGACCTGCCCCCGGCGGTCCACCGCTCTCCTTTACACCTGTGGGCGACCCTACCTGTCCTCCTCTGATCTCCTATCGCTCATCCCTCTCGGGAATCGAACCCTAAACCCTCCGTGCCGATACGATTCCACCTGCTAGGTCCTGCTTTGGTTGCGAGGTGTCGCACGGGGTCAAACGACTACGTGTTGCGGGAGGGTTGGGTGGGTGCTACTAAGTCGGCGCGAGCTCGCGTGCTAAGGTAGTCGCGTGATCTTGGTACGCCTCTCTCTAGCCCTCTCTCCGTCCCCCGGCCGTGTTCAATTGTGCGAGGCAGTGGTGTCCAGTTCCCACGGAGAAACCTCACGCGAACCACCGGGCAACAACCTAAGCCTAAACGCAAACTCTTCCCTCCACCAGCACCGTTCCCCACTTCTCCACGTCACTTCTGTGTTCTCTTTTCCCTCTCCAAAAACACCAGCGCAGCGCGTTTGTGGTTTTAGTGACACGGCCTTGTTTGCTAAGGGTATTTTACAAGTGGATTAATGACTCTGCCGTGTGGAGAGTATTTTTTACCTGTCGGATATATCGATGTTGTATCGGTAGCGACTGCGGGGCGGTTTGCGAGTGAACCGTTACGACCCGTCGCGTGTTCGTGTCCACTTCGCAGCCTCACAACAAACAACAGGCTTATTTTTGGCGCGCTTTTTTTTACCTCACCGGTGTTTGCCGTCCTTCTGTCTAACAGGGCGACTCTAAAGCTTTTCCTACTTAAAAACAAATCCGGGCAATAGGAAGTATTTGTGTACCTCTTTATCTCCGTTTAGAGAAAAGAATTCCTCCGAGTGGTAATAATGACAGCGAACTTTCCATCAACTATAGTTCAACTTATTTCACTTTTATCACTTCAAAAGTTTCTTTCTTAACTTTAAACACTTAACTTTACAAAAGTAGTAGCAAAAGTTATCACTTTTGTTGTCCTTTTAAATGTAATACCACAAAAGTCACATGTTGACATGTTAGATGAAGGCGAGGTTGAAAGGGGAAGGTTTGGATAGTCAGTATTTACATAATGTCAGTAATAGGATGTCGTTGTTTAGTGTGCAGTGTGTATAAGTCTGACTTAGGTTCATTTCGTGTATTATATTAAACCACAGGGCACAAGTTCAGTTTTTATAGTAAACAGCTTATTAATTCTAAAGGAAGACTAGCAAATATTTCGCTTGCCCCTTTTGCCCCTTTTTGTAATAAATACGAAAAGTAAGGAGATAAACTTGACGGATTAATCGTCATTTCAGCTGATGACGTAATTACACAGCTCTAGTTTCGAGTGATTTGTATCTATGAGATTTTATCTCACTCACAAAAACAACCACCTTTCAGTCAACTTACTGATGACTAATATGGACAACAGCGATAATACATTCACATCCATATATTAGAGACAAGGGGCAACATAACACACATATATTTTTCTCGGTGACGACATAATTACGTAGATGGTACGTGCCTTAGAACACGATTTGTAACAGATATGCTTGTCTCAGTTATTGTGATATATGGGAATCAGATATGTGATCAAAGGACGTTAGAGCCATATCGATGATAGGTTACAAGGTCGAGAAATACATTTTTCACTCTCCCTTTGGCACGAAGTTCAAACAAGATGCCAGGACCATCAAAGGCGTTTATTATAAGCACGATATCTTTAATTTGCCAAGTATAAACGTAGGCTATAAGTCAATATAAACGGTACGTTTCTGATTAACTGTTCGACAAGGACTTCATGTACTTTTTGGAAGTGGACAAAAATTTGGTTCACAGTTGGAAAGACGATGATAGCCATGACAGTGCACTTTTGCTTGTAAGGTCGGTGCCCTGGCCCCGAGATGACTCCAGTGCTTGAGAATACAGTCCTTACTTCACAGCCCTTTCTATATAACACCGGCGTCGTTCTAATAACTTTTTAAACGTTTGGTGTGTCAATAAGGGGGTGTCATTTCGAGTGAGTAATCACACCGCCTGTCTTAACCCAGCAACCTTTAAAACCCCGCTACAATACAACCTGAAGATAAATGAGACGTAACAATGCGGCGTGATAAAATTTTATTGCCTCCTTGAGTTGTTTTTCGCGTTTGATGAAGTGGTGTTGTCGGGATGGAGTTATTTTTAGATGCGGTGTGTGTATCAAACAAACAGAGGGGTCTTTCTGTGCCTGGTTGCTGTCGGAAACAATGACGCAGTCTGACTTTTCGGCTGAAAGGGCCGGTGTGTCGAGCGGCTTGCTACAAAGTACTACTGAGGTCTCAGTGTTCGAACGGCGAACAGTGATGTTAGTCTTTGCCAAGCAGGGCGGTCTGATCATGAGTGTACAACTGTCGGTTGTGGAGTGACGACTTGTCCCGTTTTAACTTAAGCTGCCGGAGTCCGACTTTATTTAGTGTACACACTGAGAGTTGCCATGCTGGTTGACGACGCTGTGATTGTGCTGAAGTGGTCTCGGTGTGCGACCGGGCGGCGGCCAGGTTTCCGCGCCGCGCTTTGCCGCCCGTGATCCGTCAAACAAGGGGTCGCCGCAAATCGCTCCGCGCGCGCGTGAGAGAGAGATTCACTAATCTTCAAGCAGATCTTTTGGTGGCTGCAAAGACAGAATCAAATTGGCCAGACAGTATCCATTGGCCAGACAGTTACCATTTCGCCAGCCTGGCCAATTTTTGCAGCCACCAAAAGATCTGCTTGAAGATTAGCGAATAAACTGAGACCGCCGCGTTGCGATTCGCTAATCTCAGTATCAAATTTGCCAGGTAGTGCCCTTTTAGCCACACAGTCACCATTTGCCACCCGTTTGGTTGACGTAAAGAAAAGATACCAGTGCAGAAAACAAAGCCCGATAAAACAAGACCTAAAACACCTAACAAATAAGCCTAAACATCTGCTTGGACTGGCGATTCACCGCTCTGGTGAGTCCTGTCGGTCTGCAAGGAATAGCCTCCTTCGCAGACTTTTCTGACGGCCCACGTTTGGTTCAAGGAGCGCGGCTGTTTATTTTCGAAAGGAAGGTTGTATCGGCCGCTACAGCTATTTACCCAATACAGCCATTCGCCCGATACAGCTTTGACAGCGAAAAGAAACAGCCTCGCTCATACAGACAAACGCAGGCCCCTCGAAAAGTCCGGACAGGAGGCTATCAGAGACCGCCAGAGGCAACAGGTAGTCAGATGAAAGGAAGAGAAAAAAAGACGGGTTTCGTGCTCGACTGCCGCCGGAAATACGGCGCATTGTTTGCGGGCGCTCAGGCGCAGTTTACTTGCGTGCAAGTGGGAAAAGGCCCCTTTGTGTCCGCGGAGCGATCGCGTGCAAGTCCCGATGGAAACGGGCATTTAACCCTTGAGCACGTCAAGTAATCATGTCATTTACCTCAAACGTGTCAAACGGGACTTGTTTTGTCGGTACATGTAGCTAGCCAGTCCCCGCCACTTCCTATGGTGTTAAAAATCACTATCCTGCACGTTACCGCTTACTACACCGACGGCTGTCAACCACAGTTCGATCGTCCTTCCATCCACCCTGTTGTTCTTGTAATTCAGAACGATTGGCAGCGCGCATTGCAACAGGTTGAAGTCGACACATAGCGGCAACAGGTGCAACCGTTCCAACAGGCGACCCAGCTTCCGTGACAACATCTGTTTTCCTGCGGGGGGCTGCAGAATCTCGCCCGCCCCAGAGTCAGACAAACATCTAATATCGCAATAATCACCGACAACCTCAGCCGCACGCAATTTTTATGTTCCTCTTACCATGACAGTCGCCTGTCAGTAAAAATCAAAGTCGCATTACTTCCACGTGACCCACGGAAAACAACAAAGCGCTTATACATGTACAGATATATATACACAATATACAAACGACCCACTGTCGGATATAGGGACATTGCTAGAAGAAAATATCATTGACATTCTCCTTCCTTTCCTTTTATCAAAGCAGTAAAGGATGCTCACCATTATACTTACCTACATTTCTTAGTGGCCATAATGCATGTATATTAGTAAAAGATACAAACTATGCATACAAAGTCAACATGATGGTAGAAGAAGCCGAAACGTTAACTAATGCTAATGTTTGTTTTCGATGTCTGACACCGTCACAAGTGTGTAAGGAAGACTTAACAAGACTTAAAGGAACCTATAATTGAAGATCCATTGACGGGCCTTGATCCCTGACCACAAATTGTCCCAAAGGCCACAGAACGTTTCAAACCGTGCCAAGCAAAAGGGCGTAACAGCTTCATTCACATTATGCCGGCTTTCTTCACACACATAATGGCATCGTCATAAGGTGAAGGGCATTGTAATTATATGAATGGAGGAATGGATGAAAATGAATTTGAACAGTTCCGTTGATTTTGTGCGCGGTGTGGTAAATTGTGCTTTATTAAGTTCCGGTTCCTTTGAGATGACTATATATATATAAAGAGGAGATATGCGGCAAGTGTAGACTATTTTTTCTACAAACAAACAAAAAAACAAACAAACAAACAAACAAACAAACGTGATGAGATCTATAAAGGAGAGATGTGTGGCTAGTGTAGACTGTTTGTTTCTACATAAAAACAAGCAAACAAACATTGGGGGACAGGTGATTCATATCACCTGTTTTGTGTCCTCCATTGTCTCCAATGGTATATTCAAATGAAAAAATAAATAAACAAACGTACTGACTGTTTCGGGACGAATGTCAAAATGAGAAGCTCAGTATGCAGACCACAAGGCACACCCCACCGCACCTTACCCCACTCTTTCCCCAGAAACATTCTTTCCAGTTGGTACTTATAGGATCATTGATTGATTGATTGAAAGTTTTGAACCAAAGTTGACATTTTTACAGAAAAGATCTTCATGAGATTGTCATATACTCACACTTTTCAACATATTTGTGCCACCATTTCACATTCCCGACATTTATGGTTGGTGACAAAACAGTCCACACGAGGTGCACTCATTTTGTGGCACCACCACAAACTATCGGAATGTAAACAAACATGACTGACAGCTGTGTTTCCAGCTTTTAAACACACTCAAATGATGTGATATTTTGTCACCTCCACTTCCTTAATGGCACTTATTTTGCAATGGAGTAGGTTTGATTGAACTTAATTTGAAATGAAGAGGAAATTGACGTTTCGTATGGTCATAATGTTACATAATGCCGCTTTAAGACAGCCCCACACATATGTTGGCGGGGGGGGGGGAACTGCAATGTCAGACATGGCGTCAAAATATCACAGCGCTGTCCACATGTCATCAATCATACCACAGCCTGACAGGTCCCCGCAACACCCAACACACAGGTCCACACAACAACGTTATTGTTTTCACGTCAACAATACACAATACTACCGCCAGAAGGACACAGGCGTCTTCTTTCTAGATTTTATTTGTCGAAATTTTACCTTAATTTCATATTTTTAACGCACATATGTTGATGGGAGGATATGAATCTGATGACCCATACTGTACCAAAAACATGTCGTGAGAAAACGCAAGAGGCAGTAGCGAAACAAAATA